AAATTAATAATAATAACAAATGGAATTAAGTAAGTAAATAAGTCTTTAAAAAAGAATAAGGTAAACTGGAATCAATCTAGTTTTGAGAAAATGACAGAAGCTCCCACAAGGTAGAGATACCCCTGACCTACAAGGAAGCAGGATTTCAATGGTATAGATTTTCTTAATTCCTGATTTTACTCTTTGTGAGGTCTCTCTTTGACACACAGACACACTACACATTCTCACCTATGTAAGCCTGACCAGCACAATATTCATACAACTCTACTTAACATTGCTCTTTTCTGGGACCAGCAGTTAGCGTAATGGCTATGTCACTGGACTCCCATGTAGTCGACCGCGGTTCGAGTCCCGGACCCGGTGGCTTAAACTCACGCCAGGCGCGTGTGTGTGTGTGCCCAAGATCTCGAGAGGAGAATGGAGGAGAAGGGATTGTGACGTGGCTATCCCCTCTGGGGGGTGATTTCTCGCTTTCTGTCTCTCTGTCTCTCTCTGTCTGTCTGGCAAGCACACGCGCCCTGTAGCAAAAAAAAAAACCTCTCCCCCCTCCCCCCCCAAAAAACATTGTTTTTTTCCTGAGCTTTATTTTTACTTCTTCGACCTATTCCATTTGAACACTTAAGGCAAAAGACATCCAGTGCTATATTGTAAGAGTCTTAACTTTCAGTTTTGAGGATTTTGTGAATTCTATGACATAATTAGATTATTTTACTTGCGTTATTTCAGAATTCAAAATAAAAAGTAAACAAAATGTACTATGCTTTGCGAGTGCATTAAAATGAAAAGTCCATTTCTTAGAATGAGTGGTGAAGCAACACTTCCTCTGTCATTCTTTTTTCCTTATCACTACTTCTGGGTTCACCTTATCACCTCTAAAGAGAAAACAAGATAATAAAGTTACATTGTATGAGGCATTAACTATCCCTTTTTCTGTATACACTTCATAATGTTGGCTTGCAAAGTGTTTTATTCACCTTTTAGAAAAAAAATGTTAACTGAGCTTAATTCAAAATGTTCCTACAAGGAGTCAGTAGTATCCACATACTAAATGGTCCATTTGGAAGAATATTTGACTAAGAAAAGAAACTAGCAGGGCCAGATAGTGGTCCACCAATAATGCAATACTCTGAAATGCTGGAATCGTATAGGAAGGTCCCTGGTTCTTATCCAGAGGCCTCTCTGTATATCATGATATGAGCTGGCTAAGGCTAGAAATGGATCATGGCATGAAGACATTTTGAGGGATGCCTCTCTCTTTCTTTCTCTCAGAAAAAAGAAAGAAAGAAACTCAGAAAAGGAAAGAGTTTGGTATATCTTCCCACACTTATAAGAAATAGAAAATTATATATTATTAAAATACTCCTACTGGCACAAACTTTAAATATCACTTAACTTAATTACCGTTTTTAAAAAAGAATTTTTTGGGGGACCAGCAGTTAGCGTAATGGCTATGTCGCTGGACTCCCATGTAGTTGACCGTGGTTCGGGTCCCGGGCCCGGT